TCCATACGATCGGGGAAGGCAAGCCTATGCCAGAGCTGCCACCGTGTCTGCGACGAGTTGGCGTGCTCGCGAGTCGGGACGGAAGGTCACTGAGCACTTGAATGGTTTGGCGTGTATAAGGGAGAAACGGAGGCCCTCAGGTAAGGCTTCACAACGCCCCCGCCCCCGACTTTTCCCTATACTCCGCGGCAGGCGTAGTTGTATTTCAGTTCTCCGAGTCATCCGTAGCCTTCTGGAGCTCCATCATGGCGCATCCTTAGTGTTGAGCTTGTAGGGTCTGGCTTCGCTTCAGATGACAGCGGTCGCTGACGATCTCTCCAAATAGCTCGCAGATGTTGCAAGAGGGTTGTTGTATATGCATGGCCAGGCAATCATACACGGAGATCTGAAAGGGGTATGAAATCGCACCGCCGCCACTGCTCCGCTTCCTGATCGCTTTCTCCATTAGGCGAACATTCTGGTCGACCAGAGCGGTCACGCATGTCTAGCCGATTTTGGGCTCCTTACATTCATCTCGGATCCCACAAACCCCACGGTCTCAAGTTTTCTTACAACGATAGGCGGGACGGTACGATGGATGAGCCCAGAGCTCCTTGACCCTGAGCAGCTCAACCTTAAGGAGGGCCCGCTGACAAAAGAATCAGATTGCTACGCGTTAGGAATGGTAATCTACGAGGTGCTCAGTGGTCAAGTCCCCTTCGCGCCTCTCAGGAACTTGATCGTCCCTCAAGTAGTCATCAGAGGCGAACGCCCAGGGAGACCGGGAGGGAGGGAGGGGGTGTCGTTCACAGATGATCTCTGGAAGGTGTTGAACCTGTGTTGGGAGGCTCAGCCCGGGAATAGGCCTAGTGTTACGACTGTATCCGAGTGTTTGGAACGGGCTTCGGAGACTTGGGGATCACCCCTTTTGTAAAAGACTTGGTTTGGTACGATAGCGCACGCTGCGGTGTAGATATTTTCTCTTCTCGATAGTGTTTGATTTTACTGCCTTCGAACTACGCAATTTAAGCAGAGTTTACTCGCGATGATGCAAGTCCGTGGGCCCTTGACTCTCAATCTGGGGCTTCATGCCTCCCGAGGCCCGTCCGGAGGCTGGAGAAGTGGAACAAAGAAGGTTCGCCCGGGACCGCGACGAGATCGCAGAGTGAGGAAAATCAGTGTGTGGCTCGGCGATCTCAAGCTGAGCATGGTGCAACGTCGGAAAAAACGAAAGTAAGTACCCACTATTGGCTGGATACCTGGTGAGCCCTTCGCAGCGGATTCTGTCGCATCCTGATCGTGGCACAGGCAGGTGTTAGAGAAAGGCCACTGTACTGCCGCTCCGGGTGCGGCAAGCTGGGTTCGAAATATCATGATCGAATGCAGCTCGCGGTCAACTTCCACCAGGTCAGTCTACCAGGTTGGGTTCCTTGACAGGTTTCAGAACGAGATTTCATAGAGGGTCTTCTGTGGGCATTTCCCCCGCCTCCATTTTTGGGAGATTAGGCGTCTGTCTGAGTTCAGGATGGCTACGTCAAGTCAGCCATCGGATACCCCAGCGGGGACGAAGATAGCATCCGTTCCGAAGCCGGTTCCACTGGTTATGCAGATCGTCGTAAGAAGAGACTTGCTCGCGGTAAGGCTTAGACGACTCTGGAATCGTTCATTGTTTATGACCACCGTGTAGCAAGACGGGTGGGGAGTTGGTCCGCTCATGGCTCAGGTAGCCCACGCAACATCTGCGGTAAGTTCGACTGGGTAGATTTATTTGGCACAAGAGTGATGTGCTTTGGAGGTCCTCCACGAAACGAGAGAGAGGACTGAAACGAAAGAATACCTCGGTGATTTGCTCAACATGTACAAATCCGTCTTTCAGGTGAGAGTTCATCCCACAAATTCACATGTATCGGGGCATGAAGACATACTTCAGGTTGACAACCTAGAAAAGCTGGAGAAGCTAGCTAACACGCTCAAGTCTGCGGATCCACCGATACCCCACCACCTATGGGTCGAGCAGCCCGAGAATGTTCCGACATGTCTCGCCGTCGCACCGAACAGGCGAGATCCAAAGGTGAAAAAGGCGCTTGATAAAAGCGGGTGCAGGTTGTGGAAAGGTTGAGATGGGATGAGGGAACGAACGGGGATGAGGTCACGCAGCTACCGGATGTTCGGTGGCAGGAGTTCTTCATGGACATTAAAATGCCTGTTGCAAGGGTTCTCATAAGCATCCCCTTGCCAATTAGAGATAGAATAGCGCGTACCGGTTGACCTTCCCAATTTGTTTACACGTTCCCTCCCCATTCTCGCCCCAAGTAACAACCCAGCTCCCCACCAGACCTCCTTTCGCATCCGTTGTCTCGGCGACAGTTTCTTGCGTACCTGCAACCGCCCTCTGCTGTAGCTCCTTCCCTTCCAACTTAATGTGATCCGCCAACTCCCACTTTGCGAACGCCCTCGATGTCTCCTTCAAGAAACTCGTGTCATACACATTCGTTATCCGTTCGTGCAGACCCAGAGTTAGAGTAGTCATCTGTAGGGCGTGGTCCTTCTCTACCCGCTGGAGTTTTGTCACGTAGGGCCTCCCACACCACGCGATGAGAGCGGTGGATAAGCCACTGGTGGTAATTGCGACCCCAGCGAGGGCGAACCTGGCGCTGAGAGGGATTCCGGAGGCCTCTATGATGAAGATGCACGGCGCGAGAGCTGTCGAGAGTGTCAGGGAGGATAAGGAGAAAATTTTGAGCCTTCGGAAGGTCTTTGTGAGCGGGCCCTGGTATAAGACCTCCGGGGTCGATTCACGTCCGCTCGGTGGGGTAGAAAGGCTTCGGAAGCGTGTTGATAGGATAGGAGATTGAGGACTCAGCCCACGCAGGCGCGGGGAGCCATGCCCGCAAGGGCGGGAGAGGCGCAACAACAAGGGTTGCATGGAGGAAGTGGAAAAACCGGAGCAGGTGAGGAAGCGGGTGCCAGGCGCTGAGCTGTTTCCGCGCCGAAATATAAAAAAATAGAGATAAAATGCTCCCTGCCAGGTTCGAACTGGCGATCTTCGGATTGCTCCTGGAAACCAGGCTCATACACTTTATGAGACCGACGCTCTACCGACTGAGCCAAGGAAGCTTAGCAAAGAATTGGTTTTTACAGCTAATGATCAGAGGACCCACGCTCTCGCGGTGGGAACGACTCGGAAGAACCAAGCGAATGGATAGGAAAATCGCTGGCCGTACTCATGGCTGGACCACTGGAAAAATGGACGGAAAGGAATGTCAGGTCTAACTCGCGGAGCGAAACGGATGCAAGAGCCTCGCGGGGACGATCACCGGCACAAGGTTGTCGAAAGCGCCGGTTCAGGATGAATCAAGGCCACGAGATTCCTTCAATTAGGCGTCCGGTCTCTTTCATACTGTCATGCCGAAACCAACCACTACGCAGAAGATTGGAGGAGAATATGGGGATGTAAGGATAGCCTTCGACGTTGAGAAGCTCAACAGGTATCTCGAGACACATGTACCAGAAGTCGTCGCCCCAGTGACGGTGAAGCAATTCAAGGTGTGTATCTAGGGCTTGGCTCATCCAAGACCGCTGCCTCACAGTTATACTGGATCCAGTTCGGACAGGTACGCTTTGGAGATCCACTCTCGCCCCTTCCTGACATCCATCCGATCAGTCGAATCCCACCTACTTTCTGACGGATACGAGGTGCGCAACTTTTTACGTCCATCAGAATGGCCTTTGTTTACTGACCACGTACCACAGGGGTAGGAAGTCTGTCCTGCGGAAGAAACCCACCGGGAAACTTCTCTCGCCCACAGCTCACCAAGTTGAGCGCGAGTTTCGAGTTCTCGACGCTCTTTATAAACACAACATCAAGCCTAGTACCCCTCCAGAGGGACACGTCCCAGTACCACAACCGTATATGCTATGTGAGGATAGTGCCGTGATCGGAACTCCTTTCTACATCATGGAGTTTTTGGATGGCAGGATTTTCACGGACGCGTACATGCCCCAGTTGGACCCAAAGGACAGGCGAGAGTGGTGAGTCCTTCTTCCCCTCGAGTCTGCGGGTCATGATTTTGAGAAGAAATCAGTTGGCTTGCCGCGGTCCGCGCACTTGGCGCATTGTCTTCTCTTTCGCCTAAGGAACTCGGTCTCCAGGACTTTGGTTCGCCGAACTCCTACTTCCCTCGCCAGATCAAGTCTCTGACGAGGGTTTCACTCGCGCAATCTGCTGTTGTGGACGTTGAGGCTAACAAACCCGTTGGAAAGGTTCCCGATTTTGACGAACTCATGGAGTGGTATACCAAGAACCTCCCGGATGAGACGAAGACCGGTTCTCGAATAGTTCACGGAGACTACAAACTAGACAACCTGGTCTTCCACCCAATAGAGAATCGTGTGATTGGCATTCTCGATTGGGAGCTGTGTACCCTTGGCAGCCCTGTACGACCTAGCGCGTTCCCGCCTTTGGACACACTCGCTCACATGACCAAAGCTTGCAGATTTGGCAAACCTTACCCAACCTTGGGTCTTTGACCCACAAGCCATGAGCACGAATGTCACATCATCAACAGCGGGGACCCTAATCAAGGGGTTCAAGAACGTAGCGAACGTGTCGATCAAAAAGGAAGAAATGGAGCAGGAGTATTGCAAAACTACCGGCTGGCCATACCCCATCACGGAGATGGTGTTCGTTCGGAGTTGGATGGTGATGCGAGTGAGTAGTTAAAAAGTCCCCAAGTTTTTACGAGCCCAGCTAAAGGTGTTCGTTAGCTCGCGATTATCTCTCAAGGGATTGCGGCTCGGTATGCCAGGCGGCAAGCCAGCTCGGAGCAGGCGTTCATGCACATCAACATATTTCCTTTTGTCGGGCGAGTGGCGAGAGCTGTATTGGAGGAGGAAGGATATATGATAAGCGCTAGGTCAAGGCTGTAGCAAAGTTGCATGTATTGTCTGTTTCAAAATTCACCCAATGAAACTTCTGGTTGGATTCAGTTTATATCTTTTATTAAAAGTTAGTACCATAAGCCCGTTTAGCACAGTGGTAGTGCGTGTCACTCGTAACCAGGTGGTCTTCACCGCTTGCGCAATGACAAGGTCGATCGTTCGATCCGGTCAATGGGCACTCATTTTTTCTTCAGACACACATGGTCGAGTTCTGTTGGCCCTTGCATTGGGCGACCTTCATGAAGGTTCTTTGTAGGTACACGAACGCAACGACCAACTTCATGTCTCCCACGCCGGTTATCTGGGGGGTGACCTGCTCGTTGTCGGGATTTGATGTGATCAGCAGAGTCGTGACCACCAGGTTTTCCACCCCGCGGATGGGTAGGCATAAATTGGATGATAGGTACAGACCTGATCAATAATTTCCAAAAGTCTCTCCTGGTCCCCGGCAGTCAACCTACTAATGGCGTTGATATTTCCGTTGTCAACTGCAAGCTGGACTTCTGAACGGATTGTTTCGGATGGCAGCTGAGGGCTGGCCAGTAACGCTTGTAAACCTTGCTTCCCCGAGGTCGAGGAACGACGAGTGGACTTGGACTTGTTTGCCATGAGTGGTGGTAGCTGATGTGGGAGTGAATAACACGGCGACGATCGTAGCGACCGCTTGCAGATATACTACACGTCTTTCAAACCACGTTCTTCAGTTTCCTAGGACGCCCTCATCAGCGCGGTATCATGGGGACACCTTTGTTTCACTGCTATTCTGATATGCGAAGCGAGACAGGAACGTCGGCCATGCACTCGACACACCTTCCGCGAAGTACGGATGTTCCCTGCAGTCCTGTTTTGGGGAAGTTATCAATGACAGTGTTGGGACTTCGTGGCACTACCCAAAATCTCGGGCCTGGATTCTCGATCTCAGGCCCAGGTCTAGCACCGTTTCTTGTACCAAAATTGAACAGCACGCAGCAGTGCCGGTGCCGCGCAGGCCACAATGGCTGAGGCTGACAACGTGTTGCGGGTGTCTTTGTATTCATTAATTTCGGTTCCCCGTCCCCGTCAGACGTGGCCACCCGGGTTTTGCCTGCGGTATTCCCCCACTGTCAGGAGGTTAAACGTTAAAGTGTCAGGGAGAGCGAGAACGGAGGCCTATGAGGTTCAGCCTACTATCCACTCAAAGTTCATTTCCCACGTGATGAGGAGGAATGGAGAGGTGTCATCGAAGTAGATCTACTATTCACAGGCTGTCCTGGACGGGCGGGCGGCTACAGGGCGACTGAGTTTCCTAATAATAGGATCGCGTTTCGATTTGATAACTGTCGGACTGTGGCGCCCTTTCCCAAACAAAGATATATTTGGTGCGTTCGGACGTTGCCCAGCCGTTGCAAGTCATCTCGACTCGTAAAGAAAGACGGGATGTGCTGGAGGAAGGACGGTGATGGAGAGATGCAAATAACACAGGCGGAATCTCATGATGTGGGTCAGATTCATTGAAAAAATTCCATCATCGGCTCGAGGCTGGCTGCTCCACTTTCTTTAGCCCGACATCCTCACTGACCGGCGAGGCAACTGCTTCTTTGCGGAATGTAGCCTTTCATCAATACCACCCATACCATGAATCATCTCCGTGAGGTGCGATAAAACAGGATGATTTAATAATTTCACAACGCTCCACGCTATGATTTATTTCCGGTATTTACTCTTCACGAAAAACTTTGTGTCCTTGGGCGAATATCTCCGGTGGCCACCGCCATGGTTCGCCCGCGACCGTGATGGGAAAAACACGGAAAATGACGTCATTCCCCAATACGTTGCCGATCACTCGCAGTTGTACCCCGGTCTAGCCACTTCTAGTTACAGCTGTGTTTCGCTGTGTGAAGCTAGGGAAGTCGATCGGGGTAAGATCTGGTAAGAAACAAACAGGACCAAGCAACGATGAAACGCCGCACTTCGAGTAACGCTCGGCGGGAGTGCTAACGTGCATGACTTGCGGATATATATTGCAGCAGCATGGCTCTTCCCAAGGTTCGGAAAGCTTTGACGGCAGAACATGTGCTGCGAAGCAGGGCCTTCCGGTATCGTCTCCGTCGTTCGTAGTGGATGGCTTGCTCACCAAATCTTCATAGATGCGCGATTCTGGGACAATCTCTGCACATCGGAGACCTCCTCGAACGAACTTTGCCTCTCAAGAGCCCGGTCCCTCTTAAGCTGTCCAACCAAGATCACTGTCGCCAGGAGCTTTCAGGGGAAAGAAGCCCAGAGGCTCATTGATTTTCTCGACCGGGTGAGTGAGCTCCGCTTTCTGTACCCAGTAGTTTAACCCGTCAAGCACAGGTCCTCGAGCGGTCATGCTTAGGCGAAAAACACTGGCAGCGTGGTTTACGGCTTCTGTCCAAGATCTGTAAATCCAACGGAATGATACCCGCCTCTTATATTCTTCAACGAGAGCTTATACACGTCGGAAGGGTTCGCTACTACGGTGGATCCGCAGATGTGAGCGATGGACAATATTCGGGGCGTGCTGTGGCTATCAAGCATCTCAAGGTGATTGGAGATGACCGGGCCGGAGGGGCGTTTAAGGTACGTTTGACCGGTCTCGTGCACTGTTGACGCCCGGCGCTCAGCTTTTGACCAGCGTTTATGCCGAGAGATCATTAGTTGGAAACATTTGTCCCATCCTAACATTCTGCCCTTGTTGGGGGCTTCTTTGTCCATAAACCCGCCTCGTTTCTGTATCCTCTCGGAGTGGATGGTCAACGAAGACATTATGAAATATGTAAGCTCCAATCCAGAGGCAAATCGTTTGCAGCTGGTAAGCCTGCCGCTGTTTGAAATCTTCCCCACAAGCCCTCATACTTACCCGTCATCCTAGCTCTCTGAAGTCATGGCTGGCGTAGCCTACCTTCACGACCTCAGTATTGTTCACGGGGATCTCAAAGGTGTAGGTACAATGTTCTTGACATTCCCGCTCCCCGCTGACGAATGAAGTAGTCAAATATCTTCGTCGATAGCACGGGCACTGCTCGCGTCGGGGATTTTGGCCTTATGACCATGGCCGATTTAAGCATGAATCCCTTATCTGTCACTGTTGTTTCCTGCGTGGGCACAACCCGTTGGATGAGTCCGGAACTCTTTGATCCATCGCTTTCCAGTTCCAATGGTCGCCCAACTCGCGAGTCGGACTGTTATGCACTTGGAATGGTGATTTATGAAGTGAGTGGGTCTCACTCGTCACAATGATCCCCCATTTACCCATTACAGGTTCTTACGGGCCTCCGACCATTCCACCGGTTACACGGTTACGCTCCAATGCTCGCTACATTGAGCGGTGAACGTCCAAAAAAACCTCCTGGTGCCGAATCGTTGGGGTTTTCCCGCGAACTTTGGGGGCTGATAGAGTTATGTTGGAGTAAGTCGACTTCAAGTCGATCAACCGCCCAGCGGTTATATGACTGTATTTCTCCCGCTTCTCTTTCTTGGGACCCCCCTCAAACGTATCCTGTCGTTGGGACTGAAGTCGAAGACGTCACCGAAACAGACTCTTTCGGACCCCTAGAAATGCCCTGTCGGGCCCACTTCGCGAGGCGGTGTAGGGACTGGGCGCGAAGGACGACGGTTCGGATCATTGCATTTTTTACCTTTTTTATAGGCTCATAGAGTTAGTTTTGTTGCAACGTTTTTTGTTCTTCTGTACACAGTAGCCACTATCAATGGAAATATCTACACAACGTCGATTACAGACCTGGGAGAGATATGGGGGTGGAAAGGATCAAAGACAGTGCTCACTGACCGGATTGAACGATCTCGTCGAATGTGAACACCACCAGAATACGTATGATGCGCGCTGCCAAGCACTGCACCGGGCGGGCCAACGTCGAATTGATCCGTTGCGATTGAAGTGGCCACCTCGATCGGCGCGGGGAGGCACATACTCATACGGCAGATTTCGATCGGTGATCATCCTCCTTTCTTAAGATCCTTCACCTGTCACGCTCACAATGTTCGGCAGTAGCCTCGCTCGAGCAGACTACTCTCAAGACGCGAGCGGGCCTATCAGGCAGACGGATTCTGACGCGGCCATCGCTCGTTTGTCAGCCGTGAAGTTGGGCTATCTGCAAGACCCTTTCATCAAATTTCTGGTTCAACGGCCACACCTTCAACCTCCTCGTCCTCCTCTAATCAACGTCGGGACCTATGTCCGGTCTGAAGCCATCGATAGGCTCGTTAACGGGTGGCTGGAGCTTTCGGCCGCGGAGGGAAAGAAGTGTCAGGTCGTGAGTATGGGGGCGGGGAGCGACACGAGGTTTTGGAGGATCAACGTACGTGGGCATATTTCATTTCCGGTTTCTTGTATTTGGTTTCTGCGTTTGAGGTCGCGTAGTGATGCGGAGAACCACTCCCAGGTAGACCGGCCCTCGCAAGGATGACCTCGCGGTTTACATCGAGTTCGATTTAATGGAGAACACAACCAAGAAGACGATGGCCATTCGGAAGAGTAAGGAGCTCAGTGAACAGTTGGAAAACGTAACGCTCGGTATGTTGTTGGAACGATTCTCTTCCGGTCCGGACACTCACGAAGGCAGAGCATGGCGGTACAACGTTGCATTCTACAAAGTACCATCTGTTTCCCGCAGACCTTCGGATCCCTCCAACCGAGTCCATCGCTCCACTTTTGACTTCGCCTTCCCTAGAGGGCCCGATCCTTTCCCCCAACCTTCCAACTCTCCTGCTCTTTGAATGCGTTTTGGTTTACATCGCTCCGGAAGCTTCGCAAGCTCTCATCCAATGGTTTGTTGATTATTTCGCTTCGTCATCCGTCCTAGGCGCGGTAGTATACGAGATGTTTGGGTTGAACGACCCGTTCGGAGTGGTGATGGTCGAGAATCTCAAGGTACCGTCGCTTTATTTCTGCCGTGGTCGTGATCGTCTTGTATTGACGTTTGTTACCTCAGGTTAGAGGCGTATCGTTGCCGGGAGCTGAGCCTTATCCGACATTCGAATCTCTTCCTCGACGTTTCACGAGGCATGGATTCACCACCTCGGAAGCCCTCACCCTACGTGAGATCAGAAAGACCCTGATTTCCCGCGAAGAGTTGCAACGGTGGGCGCCGCAAGCGAGATACCCTGAATTCTAGCTCACACCCCCTCGAATAGGATATCGTCACTGGAGATGCTGGA